AATGCTTAAATATATATAAGTCTCTTGTTGCTCTCTATTTAAAATGCATCTATTGTGTCAACATCTGTTGGCTTTCCCTAAGGATATATATGCATTATTTGTGGTCTCTTTTGATTTGATTTTCCCATATTGTGCTTAAAATATTTGGAAATAAGAACTGAGCAGCTGTGCATTGAATTAGGGGTTTTTGAACTGGGTTTGATCATGGTGAGTGGATGCCATCCTATTATCCTCAGTAATAACTTTAGATATTTGCAAGTAACTTTTTTTTTGCTTGAGGATGTATTATGTATTTCTTCTTTTTAAACTAAAATATCATCTATATTATGTGATTTCATAGACCAGGGATGAGCAGAGCGATACTTACCTGACCTAGTTATCCTGAAATTCTGTGAAATTACAAGTTCTTACATAATTCCGTGAGATTACTTAATCATTTGAAAGCTCATAGTTTGGAGATTCTGTGTGAGAACTTTGCTAATTTTGTGTACATGTATGAGAAATAGCTGGATCATTGCACAAAGATGCTGACATCCAGAAGAGTGCTGACCCTTGTATCATTTTCATTCATGTCAAAATTTATCACTGTATCATTTATTTATGTATTTATTTATTTATCTGTTCTGGGCTACCATGTCTACCTTTTTAGTGCCTTGATCATTTTTTTCTTTTTCCTTTTATCTCTATCCAGGCATTCCTTCACAGAATAATGCAATGGGCTATTACCAAGGTTGATAAAAACGTAACAGAGGAAACGGTTAAGGTCAGTTCTTATTTATTCTCACTTCCTTTTTATTGTATCTTGAATGGATTTATTTATACTCTGGGTTTCTTACTTACAGACATTGTTCTCAAATATTGAAGATATTCTAGAAGTTCACAAGAATTTCCTATCTAGGATTGAAGAATGTCTGCATCCTGAACCTAATTCGCAACAAGAAGTGGGATCCTGCTTTCTCCACTTTGTATGTCAAATCCGATAATATAAGCTTTATGTAATTGATTTTATTCTTTGCTGCAGTGCTGCTTTTTTTAAAAAAATAATTGCTGGCATGGTAGTTCATGTATACTCCACTCAGAGGACAAAATGATCTTGATTGCATAATTTATGAGATCTTTTAAGGACGCTTGGAAGCTGAATTTGCAGCCTATTCAGTAGAAAGAGTAGGCGTCATCATGATTTTTCATGAAGCTGGCCTAGCATACTGAACAATAATCACTTTTTACGTTTGTCTTGAATAACGTTTTTCACCAGTAAGATGCAGATAACATGTATTTCACACCAGAACACATTAGATATGTAAGTGAACAGCAGTTAGTTCACCGACTTTAAAATGCACTCTAAAGTTACACTTGATATTCATTGTGCAATAAGGCCCATATGGAAGCCTAATCTTAACCCTGAGAAGGTACAAACACTACTTGAACCTAACTATAAAACTAAAATAAAAACGAAGAAAGCACCTTTAATTTTTTATAAATTGATCTGTCAACATTAGGTATTTGTTGTAAACCAATTGTGTTTTGCATTAGTTTGCAGATACTGTATTTATTTATATTTTTATTTATACTATTCCTTTAAAAATATCTGTTAAGGGAAAAGAAAAATATGACCATAGTAACTAATCTAAAAACTTTTTCTTCAGAGAGACAGATTTCGTATCTATGATGAATATTGCAGCAATCATGAAAAAGCACAAAAACTTTTGCTTGAACTTAACAAAATAAAAACAGTACGGACATTTTTACTGGTAAATAAATATTTTTTTGTATTCTGTATTTCTGTCTTCTGATTTGTGCAGTAATTTGATTGCAGTACATTTCTAAGGAGAGCCAGTTTGGTGTGGTGGTTAAGGCATTGGGCTACAAACCGGAAGACCGGGAGTTCTAGTCCCGCCTTAGGCACAAAGCCAGCTGGGTGACCTTGGGCCACTCACTCTCTCTCAGCCATATGAAGGAGGCAATGGCAAACCACTTCTGAAATCTTGCCAAGAAAACTGCAGGGACTAGTCCAGGCAGTTGCCAGGGATCAACAATGACTCAAAGGCACCAAAAAAAAAAATCCTAAGTGACACGTACCTATTTTGAAGGCTAAATAACTAACTAAAGAGTAGCCTGCTAGACAAGACTAAGTGCCCATTTTATTCAATATTCTGCTTCCCAAAGTTGCCAGATGCCTCTAAGAAACTTCTAAAGAGGGCGTGAAGACTAGGGATAGAGAATGTGCAGCTATTCAAATGTTATTGACTTCTACATTAATCCGAATTAGCATGCTTAATAGAAATGAAGTGAGTTGTTGTCAGGTAATGTCTGGACTAGTGCAAGTTTGTCCTCTGCTCAATACATTTTTTTCCTATTTCTACCCTAGCAACAGGTATTACCCTAAAGCCGAATAGGGAGATTCCATATAGACAACATGGCTGATAGCCATTAATAAAATAACTTAGAACAATAAAATGGCATAAGATCACCTGATCTTGTAATTGTAAGATTTATAATATAAATTAATAAATTAATTATGTGCTATGTGCTGCATTGCCCATTGTTCTGAATCTACTACCCTTTGATTTCAGTCAATCTGAGTTTGCATCAGTGCTGAACAGCGCTGCATATCTGGCTTAAAAACAAAGGATAATTAGATCAGAATTTTACCATAATATATATAAAATGATACAACGTGTTTTGCTCTGGAGTTAATTAAAATTTCATTGTGTTTTTATTATATTTTAAACAATACACTGGTTACATTATATTACCAAGAGTAAATTATTTTTACCCAGGTTCATGTTAATGTCTGCTCTATTTCAATCTATTTATGCCTATGTTGTGAAAGGTATTCAAGAAGTAAGTCCCAGGCAACAGGCTACCAAATTTCCATTATGCTTTTGCTTCAAAAATTATCTCTAAGTGATGTAAATACTAAGATAGACAACTCTGGAATTTTTATACCATCTGCAGTTGTCTTGTTCTTTGTATGGTTGCTCTATAATGAACATTTCTCAGTAAAATCTTTAACAATTTTTCCAAAAATCTGTAGCAAAATCTACTTTGAAGAATCTATATCTAGTAGATTTAGCAAGAGAACATGTACTGTAATATGTCTAGCAGCAGCCAGCTAATATGTAAAATGAAGTGAGCAACATTCCTAGGCATTGAAGCCACTTGAAAATTGAGTAGCCAAGCAAATCTAAGAGTATAATATTATAAAAGATTAATTTTGGTTGAAATACAAATGATTTAATTGCTTTCTAGAACTGCATGCTGTTGGGAGGACGGAAGAATACAGATGTACCTTTAGAAGGTTATTTGGTAACGCCAATCCAGAGAATATGCAAGTATCCACTTCTTTTGAAGGTATGCATTTTTGTTTGAAGAAGTGTAAAGATATGTTCTTCTTTTGAAGATTTAGATTTTAGATTTTTAAATATTTTTTTTATCCTGCCTTTATTATTTTTATAACTAACTCAAGGCGGCAAACATACCTAAAGTCCTTCCTCCTCCTATTTTCCCCACAACAACTCTGTCAGGTGAGTTGGGCTGAGAGCGACTAACCCAAAGTCACCCAGCCGGTTTTTCATGCCTAAGGAGGGACTAGAATTCTCAGTCTCCTGGTTTCTAGCCTGCTGCCTTAACCACTAGACCAACCATATTACATGTTACATAGAAATCATGTTATTTTATGAATTGGTTGTCATTCAGTAATAAAAATTTGTTTGCCAGAACAAATGCAATTATTGTTTTTTAAAGATATACCCTGTATCTTTAAAGATAGATGCACAGAAACAAAAGATGGAACCTAGTATGCTGACACTACTGGAATCTCTCCTGTGAAGTAAAGGTCCTCAGCAGAGATTTTTGGAAGAGAACTTTGCTATTGCTAGGAAGGAGTTCCTTTGTGCCTATAAGGTTTCTTATTTCGACTGGAAGAAATAGATGGAAACTGTTTTGGGCCTTGCTCAGGGGAACACATTTCTACTTACCCCTTTCTTGTGTAAATCTGGTGCTAATATTGAGTCATATTGACTCATAATAATGAGTCATTTTGCCTACTTCCATTTTTCCCCCGGGTGTCAAACTCCTTTCTTTCCAAAACCTGCTTCCATCTATATCTTTAAAGGATATAAGTAGTCTGTCCCTCCATTCAAATTATATAACTATGGCATGCTTGAAATTTTCAGACCATGGAGTGACATGCAGCATAAAGAATTGCTGCATGTACTTGATCTGAAAAGGAGTGAGAATAATTTGTGTATTTGCTAAGTGTGCAGCAGGGATGTTCTTTGTTTGCCTATTGATGAATGAAGCTGAAAATCTATATTCAGGACTTTAAAGGTGATAACGTGGAAGGTGACTGGCAGCCAATGCAACTCCCAGAATAGAGGTATTACACACACAAACCTAGGTGTACCCGTTTCTACTCAGGCCATTGCAAGCTGAACCACTCTAAGCTTCTGGATGGTCTTCAAAGGTAGCCCCGTTGCAGTTATCCAATCTTGGATAAGAGGTGATAAGGACATGAGTAACCATGTGCAGAATGGGTCACAAGTGATGCGCAAGAAGTAATTGTACAAAGGCTTTCTTGGCCAACATCTGTACCTGCTGCTGAAGCAGGAGCTGCGAGTCTAGGAAAAGAGCCAGTTCCATATGGGGAAGTACAGTCCTGCCCAGAACTATGGATGGACCATTTCTGGAGTCACTGTGCTTCTATACCTACGGTGGCCCGCCAGCAGATCTTCTAGCTTCACTTTCCCCAGTGAATAATTTTGAATAAAGTTGCTGGTTGGCTATCTGCAGATGTAGTAAAGAGAAATCTTATGTAGGCACAAACGCCTGTATTCAGTCCATGATTTTTGCTGATACAAATTATTAGAACTGAATCTTATGCTATTTGATTATAGCTCTCATAAAGATAGTGAAAATATGTTCAGCAAGACACCAAATAAAGCAGGATTCAGATATGATCCAGCATCTTAAAGATTTGAATAGGAAACTGTACATTTTATGAAGTGGATAATGACACTAAATATTTAATTTTAATCTCATGGTCAGTTTGATGTTACAATCCTATGGTGCCTACACCTTTAACAAAATTTATTCCCAATTGAATATGCATGGTTCATGAACTGTGAAATTTTAATAATTGATTTCCATTTTGGGAAGAGTGTAAGAATTGATTTTTCCCTTTATTATTCTTTTTTTAAAAAAATAGGAATTGTTAAAGCGCACTCCCAAAAAGCACAGTGACTACTCTGCCTTAATGGAAGCTCTCCAAACAATGAAAGCTGTCTGTTCCAGCATAAATGAAGCCAAGAGACAGATGGAAAAATTAGAGATTTTAGAGGAATGGCAGTCTCACATTGAAGGATGGGAGGTACAAAATGTGATATTTTAGCAAATGTGGAAAAAAAATGAGAAATCAGTACATTTTTTTTTATTCCTGACAGGACATGATCATACATAATTCATAATTAGAATACATCATTGTTCTTTGTTTTACTGATTAGATTATTATCTCTGTGAAATTTGATCAATCCACATCTGGATTAATAACAGAAATTTTAAGACTGAGCAAGTGGAAAAAGGAAAAAGGACAGCCACAGGTTTCCCTTACAATCAACTGTATTTTCCAGTGTGGGGAGGGCAGAGGTTTCAAATAATGTGAAATTCCTTTTCAGTACATTTCCTTTCATAATAAATTGGATGAAGAAACATGTGTTGAGGAAAAATGGTGCCTGTCTTGCCTCTTTCTCAATATGATTGCTTGCAGGTCTTAGGACTATAATTCCTAAAAATTCTTATAATGGTTAGGAATTTTCAAGTTTAGTATATTTGTGGAAGTTTTTTTTTTAATGTTTTCACTGTAGTAATAGAAATAAGACTGAGGTGTGAAGTTAAAAGAAATGACTAAAATAGAAGTGTATGCATTTGCAAGGAAAAAAGGCTAAACCTTTATAACTTCCTGATGTAACCATTGCATCTAGTTTCTGTACTGTCACAGAAATATGAAGTAAATTCAAAAGAATGGAGGTGAAAATAAATGATCTAGGAAAAATTATTTGAAACAAGATAGAAAGTGGGTCTGAATATTTTTGGACGAGAATATAAAAGAGGACTCAGCAGAAGGGAATAATAGATGAAGTGAATCACAGTACATGATCGAATAGACGTTTAATGGAAGCAAAAAGAGTTAATCTGTATCGGCCAAAGCATGAAACTATAGAGCTTTTTCTCATACCCTGCTAGGCAATATTTATTAGATTTTTGCTTAGCATTATACCCAAACTCAGCCAATTATGATTTAATAATGAAATTGTAGTTCAGCAAACCATGGCTTTGTGTGATATATGAACTCAGTCACTGTCAACTTGGCTTCTGTTTAGTTGGCTCTGTGAATGAATGAACAGTTGCTCTGTTTTTAACAGAGATGAATACAATCCATGCACTGTCTCCTTTTCCTTCTCCTTTTTCTCCTTTATCCTACAATTATTCTGTATTGAGTATACAACAATTAGTTACAAAAACAGTAGGCAATAAAAGCAAAACATGTAATCAGTGTTGTGTATTAGTGAGAAATAGTTATATATCATTATAAATCTACAATCTCTCAGATCATTTTGAATACAAGTTTCCCCATTAACCAAATTAAATGGAAATAATATGCTTATTGACCACTGAAATGAGTGAAGTATCAATAGTTTAGAATAGGTTTTGTGGCAAAGGACATTCACTGCATTGTCAGAGTTTTCATATGATAAAAGGACAATAGCTTAGTAGCTAAACAACTACTTTGCATATAGAAGTTCTTGGTTCAATCCTTGACATCCTCATTTAAAAAAAAAAAAACTCAGTCGTTAAGCGAAGCGGTTGCTAAGTGAAACCATGACTGTGCTTATGATCTTACTTCAGCTTTCCTTTGCTTTACAGACCTGCAAAGGTCATAAATGCGAGGATTGGTCGCAAAGTTACTTTTTCATCACAGTCATAACTGCGAATGGTTGCTGTATGAGGAGTATCTGTAATCAGGTTTCTGCAATGGCCTTTGTGACTCCAAGATAGCTGCTACCAGTTAAAAACAAACATTACTACAGATAGCTAGATAAATATGTATGGCAACACTGTTCTGTACTGAAAACATATTGCCAGGTAATTATGATTTACTAGTGAAGGCTTGCTACCTTACACCTTCATAAATATCTTTTGTAAGCAAAATATATTTTGGTTGCAACTTAGTTGCTAAATGTTTAAGGGTGAACTTTCTTCAGATGAGAGTTTAATGCGCTCATTTAAATGTTTTTTTTTAACTACCAGATTTTATGAGACATTTCTTCAATAAATCCTTCGGTACTAAAAGAGCAGCTTTAATTAACTGAACATCTGGTTTGCTATAAGGCTTAAGAACAGAGAAACATACTTGTTAGAGATTTTCTGTCAGAAGAAAATGTTTAGCACATTGCTTAGTTAGGAAAAGGCCTATATTTAGCATCTGATGGAGGATCAAAGCATTACTTGAATTCCTACGCAAAGTGCCATAAAATTGGGCTTGGTTGATTATTATAATTAGAAAATTGTGGAAAAGCAGACATTATCTTGAAGAATACATTTTAAAACTTAATTTTTTCTTCTTTAATGCTAAACTTTATAAGCAAAATTTTATTGAGTGGGTGTTTTTATTACAGAATCATAGCTATTAAAATAACTTAGGTTTTTTGTTTTGGTTTCATGACAGAAGAAATTCAGGATATTTTGAATTGATGCAAGTTGATAGCTTCCCTCATGCCAACAGATGACCTCATCTGTGGTTCTAAGTAGATGTTAAAGAGGAGTGGGGAGAGGGTAGAGTTCTGAGGGACTCCACAAAGTAAGGACCTAGGGCTCAATTTCTCCCTCCCCCCCCAATCAACACTAACTGGAACCAACTTGGAGGAAGGAAGATGTACCACCACCATCTTTTTTATAGTAATTTTATTAAAAGTTACAGTTAAAAAGATAAAGACTAATACAAACTAAAAAAGAAAAAAAAGAAAAAAGAAAAAGTGCAGAAATGAAAAAACGAAAGAAAAATAGAAAAGAAAGAAAAATAAGAATATAGTAAAGAAAAAGAAAAGGAATATATAAATAAATGACTTCCCCCTTCATCACAAGTATAAACAATTTTAGTAACTTATCACCTTCTCTTAAAATAGAACAAATGATTTCTTCTCATATCCCATCGCTTATCTATAAATAAATCCTCAAAGCCTCGTTGTTCAGCAAAATTCCATTGCCAGAGATAACATCTGTTTTAACCTTGTTCAAATAAACCAACTTTATATTCCTTCCTTTTACTTTTAACAAACTTGAACTTTAGTCCTTCAAATAATGTCCTAGAACTTGATTTCATTTTTTCTTTGTCCCTTCTCTCAAAATTCTTCAAAGCTTTAACAACTCTCTCATGTAAATCCAATATAGAAAAATTATCGAGGTCACTCTCTTGGTTTCTTATTTATATATCCCTTTTAATTATTAAGATGTCAGCCGGTTTCTTTTGTATGTCCAGGGTAGTGTCTTTTTCCATATTACTCTTGTAGCCTGTCATTTTTAAATCCACTTTCAAATCAGTCTCAATCTTGTCAGATAAAACTTGTTCTTCTTTCATAACATCTTTGAAACACAGTCTATCTATAGAGGCAGACAGTCTTAAAATTAACTTCTGGGTCCATTGTTCAAAAATATCCTTTAGTATGTCCAATGTTAAAATGTTTTGCTTCATTCTTTATTAGTAAGTGAATTTTAAGTGTTCTTTTCCTTTAATTGTCATCTTTAGTTCCTTCTGGTTCCCTCTAGTGTCCAACCTTCAAAGTCTTATCTATCATGGGTTTTTTTTAAGATAATTAAAAACTAAAGCATTTTCCCACAGGAAGGATTCTTATAATTAATTCCAAAATCTTATTTCAAATCCATCTGGACCCTTAGTTCATTTGTAATTTTCTAAAATCAAAGTTCTAAACACCCTTTTGCTGTTTATTCCAAAATATATTTTTTTTAGTCCTTAACTTGTATTTAAAACTTCTTTCACTAAGGATTGAAGGAAACTCACCCAGTGCTATAAAATTTGTTGATCCAAAGGTTCCTAATAGCTGAAAAGCAGTTAACAAGCAATTTCTGAAAGTTATTAGAAAGTTATTAGAAAAGGAAGTATGTGAACCCGTCATGCCTTTGAAGGAGCCTCCTGTGGTTTGAACAAAAAGATGGCTATTGCCTTGTCACGCAGAACAATAAACCCGCCAGAAACTGCTGTCTTGTGGTCTCTTTGTGAGGAGCAACTGTCTGGGGCACTTATGGGCAATGTCAAATCCTCTCTTTGTCCGGAGAGGAATTACAAAGAGCCTGTCTACTCGCCAGCTCCTCATTTCATCATGGTCATTGGCTCCACCTTTAGCGGAGCTGTCTTCAGTTCACAGTTTCTTCCCTGGAAGTTACATCACCACCATCTTGATGCCATTTCAGCACTATGCCCAAGCCTGAAACCTGACTGAAAGGATCCAGATAATCTGTTACTACCAGAGCTCTTTCAAGCTGCAGCCCAACTAACTTCTTCATAATCTTCTTTAAAAAGGGAAGGTTGGAAACTGAAAATTGTCCTGTATTACTTGTTCCAGCAATGGTTTCTTGAGGAGGGGATGGACCACCAACTCCTTAAGTGCAGAGAGGGCCACCCCCTCACTAAAGGACTAAATTAATTACTGCCTAGACCCACCCATACATCATCTCCCAGGCATCCTTGACCAGCCAGGAGGGACTTGGATCTAGCTCTGAGAACTCTGTCCACTTCCTCAGGACCAACAGACTTAACCATTTTCCAGATAACAGAGCCAGACCATGCTCCAAGTCAACTCCATAAGATATGCATAGCTAGAGTCCAGCTCAGAGTGGATCTGAGTGACTTTATATGCTAGATGCCTAGAATACTTCTTATAGTGGCCATACAGATCCTGTAAGCCCTCTCTCCTCAGGTCTCTGTGGACATGATAACAGCAGAAAAATAATTTGGCAGTCTTATTGCCAAAAGGTAGTCCCTGGTAAAGGTTCCTACTTGTGTTTGGTCATATTAACTCAGTGATGGTGAATCTTCTGGGCTTGGCATGTCAAAAATTCCAAAAATGCCTAACTTGACTCTGCTGGTGTGTCACACCCCCCCCCCAGGAACAAAAGAGAAACAATTCTTTACATATTCATTTATTTAAAAAAAAATACAGTCCAATCGTGTGGTGCTATAGGTCGTGCTATATGTTATATAAATGTCAAATAATTACAAAAATGAAATACGAGTAAAACAAACTCAGTTTCTTTGGTAACTCAAACAGGGAAAATAGTTGTCAGGTGTTGGTGAATGCTGGTGTGTCACCCAAAACATCGTGGCATGTCACTTTTGACACGCATGTCATGGGTTCACCATACTGTATTAGCTTCTTGTTTTCTTCCGGTGGCATTCCAGGTGCTTTTTCTGCCATTTCATTTAATATAAAGCAGGAATTGGCAACATTTTCAAGCTCTGGGCTGCATTCTGCAGTCCTATACAATGTCCCATTTGGACAAATGACCAAAATTGCAAAAAATCATCTAATTGTAAGAACACAACATTTCATTATGTGACAGATTAACTAGTACAGGTAGTCCTCGGTTAACAACTGCCCTGTTTAGCAACCATTTGAACTTACGATGTCACTGAAAAGTAGTTTGATGACTGGTTCTCGAACTTAGACCGTTGTGGCATCCCTGCAGTCACGTGATCACCATTTGAGCACTACAGAGCCGGCTTCTGATAAAATCAACGGAGAAGCCGGCAGTAAGTTGCAAGTCACAGTCACATGATATTGCGCTTAACGATCGTGGGTGATTTGCTTAATGACCACAGCAGAACTGACATCGTAAGTCACGTGATGTTTCACTTAATGACTGTGTTGCTTAGCAACATAGTTGCTGGTCCCAATTGTGGTCAATAAGTGGGGACTACCTGTATTGGTTATAA